TTGGTGAGACATTTCACTTAAAAACATGTCAAAGATGAAGTCGTTACTAAAGCGCTAGGACTATTCTATTATTAGGTTCAATTTAATTTTGTCCAAATTATTAATCAAATCATTATTTCATAAGTTTAAAAGTAGTTTATCGATCGTTGTTTTCAAAATTAATTAAAACAGAAAGTGTAAAATTACGCGAAAGGAGTATGGCCGACTGAATCATGGCGAGGCAGTGAGAGTGGACAGCAAGTTTATAGTGTAAGGAAACTCCTTTCATAAACCAGCAACTTATTTATTCAACTCCAAATAAGCAGTTCTTATAATAATATTTAGAGACGACACATCCGAACACTTCAACGGCTATCAATAAAATGCTTCCTGTCAGGAAGCATTCTGTACCCTTAGTACGAGTTTTAACTCACGAAAACTATCATAGTTTTCGTAATTGAAAAATTTGTTTCTATGTCCATTTTGGTGAAAAGTAACCAAATATTCTTAAAATTTAAGAAGACGCAAATGATTTAATGATGGAATTTAAACACTGTGTATTTGTATTGAAACGAAAACAATAAAATCAGTACCCTTAGTGCGAGTGCGAGCTCACGAAAACTATTATAGTTTTCGTAATTGTAAACTCGTACTAAGGGTAATGTTGTCAGGATGCTCTCTGTTGCAAGCAACGTTGAAGTTGAATAAAGAAGTTGTTGGTTTATGAAGGAGTTTTCTTACAATATAATCTTTGTCACATTTATGAAGCGGAATTGAGATAAAATGTGGTCTATTACAATTTTATCTAAGTTGTAAATCAGTTCGGCCACAAAAGAGTCTTAATCTTTTTTTCCCATGGTGTGTGTGCCTCCACTGTGGTTCCAATAATAACATCCTACGCATGCAAAACAGTAAATATATGTATAAGCGTTTGACTGATTTTCATATACTACATGTAATCTTCATAATCACATCGTGTTGATATTTGTGTTAAATACACATTTTTCCCATAACGCTGATGAATGAATTCCCAATAACTACCTATCCTTAATTAAATGACCAGGTTATTGCTTTCATAAAACTAATTGGATTTTAACACATTCATAATACTAGTAACGCATTATATTACCTAAAGTGATTGGTGGAGATATATCCATCTACGTCGGTAGATAGAAACCTAATTAAAGACAGGGTGAGGCATATTAGCCATCGATCAATGTCAAAACTGTAATATCACTATACAAACAACTCAAATACAGCTTAGCAATTTATACTGGTCAAGTTACACAAAGTTGACTTCCTGTTGAGTTCCTTAAACGTTTAATGCAAAATATATATATTAAATTACCAGCTTTGTATAAATGTAATTGTTTTATTTAGGATATTGATCAAGTTTACGGACTGTAATATAAGGCTATATTTATTTTGTGTTTTTAAAGTATTCTTGCATAAATCAACTTGGCATGGAGAACGCTAGACCGAGTAGAATTGTTTCAAGTATTTTTTTTTAGATTTAATCACCAAGTAGTTAATATATATGCTTAAAATAAAAATACAAATATCTTTGCTTCAGTTTTGTTTTATATTTATAAGCATCAAAACTGTCGTCTTTAGGAAACATGGCTTAATATGAACTACAAATATCCGGATATCTTATCTGCATTCAACTGAACTTGGAAAGTTTAGAAGAATGCTTTTTCCAGATTTTATTTCTTAAACTGCCAAAATTGGCAGTATGATCTGTAAACTTTCCTATAGAATTTAACTAAGAGTATTTTTTTCAGTAATAGTCCGTACTCACATACGGTATTACTGGATAGAGTACTAAATCACCGCGTCACGTCCTACGAACGAGCCTTCGAGTTGTCAGTTTTGTGGTCCACGCGATGATCTTACTATCCCGTAATACCATATAAGAGTAAGGACAAAATAAAAAAATAGTATATGTGAGTACGGATTACAGTGTGCGGGTTCGTGGTTGGGTTCTAAACTGTGGAATTATGTGAACCCAAGCTATGGCTTTTCCAAACATCTCCCTCCTCTTTTAAAATTTGGTTGATTTTTTAATCTTCAAGAAATGAATCTTTTTTCAAATAATTATTCCCAAACATCTACTGTTTTAAAATTTGGATGATTTTTTGATTTTCAAGAAGTGAATCTTTTTTAAAATTATTATTCAGATGTAAGGATCTGTGGTTTATCAAATCTAATAATATGAATGTATTGATTGGATCCCAAATGAATGTTCACTTCACATCTCGGCTACAATTTTTTTTTATTTCGCTTAGAAACCGTTCTAGTGATACGTCTGCCTATTTCTATAATTTACATTAATGTGAATGAAAATACGGCTCTCGGTACCATTCAACGCGTAATTGTCTAAAAACGCGAGCTTAATTGCAAATTAAGTATTTCAGCATGCAAAGGATAGTCTAGTGATACGTCTGCCTATTTCTATAATTTACATTAATGTGAATGAAAATACGGCTCTCGGTACCATTCCACGCGTAATTGTCTAAAAACGCGAGCTTAATTGCAAATTAAGTATTTCAGCATGCAAAGGAAAGTGTTTGGGACACGCAAGGCGACATTTACGTAACGTAGACTCTGCCTAAACCCCTATTTGTAGAAAAACCTTAGTATCCATTATCTTATTTATTCTTGCTTAAACAATACTTTTTTTTTCTTTACCTGTACTTAATGCAGATCTTTATCACCTGGTATACTTACTTTACTCTTTGGTTACCATAAAAATAACTTCTACAGAATTTTATTTCTCAATAAAATTCATTATTTTAATAAAAAAAAATCTTTTTGGATTTCATTATTATTTGCTTTTAATTAATGTAATTTTGTGCCAAACACTCCAAAAAATATTAGAATGCGTCACACCGACATTCTAATGTAAAAAAAAGAAGATTAAGATTTATATAAGTATACGAGTAAAGGACTTGTATCTATCTCTGGACTTAGTCATGAATAAAAAAAATGTGGGGGAGTAGTAAGTTTAACATAATAGTTGTCTGTCAATCTGACAGCCTTTCAAATCATACAATAGTTTTTTACCGATATCAACTTGTGTTTATTCCGTTTATATAAATAACAGAATGAAGAAACCACTAAGTTTTTGTAATGATTAAGCATGTAATGAATCCGTATTAACTATTAGTAATATAACATGTAGTAAGTATTATTTAAGTTGCTTCATACATGACTTACCACATCGACTTTTATTTCCATTTTCATCTCACATCACTTGAAATACAAACACATTACCGAAAATATTACAATTTCTGAATCAGTGTTAAGGCAGTAAGGGCCAAACGATTTAGACTTTAGAAAAAGAAACAGGTTAAACTTTTTAATAATAATAATAAAAAACAAATTGGCGGGAAAAAGTCAAACCCGGAAAATTTCAAGGAAATTCGTTGCGCCAGTACGCGCGCCCACCAAGGAGGTTTTCATTCAACTGGTTTGGTGGACATTTCACTGGTCATTGTTTGTGGTTCGGCATTTGGTCAGTGCGCAGCGAGCATTCCTTCCTTGTACACAGGAATTTAAATTATATTAGGCCCTTGTGCTGGTAATAAAGTTAAAAGAATTTTAGTGACTTCTTATTGATTGTTATGTATTTATCTGTGTTGACTGGGTGTCATTGTTGTATTAACATAAAGAAAACTTTTGTAGTGTGAGAATTTTCCTTTTTTTATAATTAATATGGTGAAAGAGCAGTAAGCTAATATTTTTATACAATTCAAAAAAACAAATTATATGGTTGATAGACCAACAGCTGTACTCAGTGATATTAAATAATTTAATGTCATTAAAAGTCACGTGCTATCATACTCTGTTGTATAGCAAATACTGTTAGAGCAATAACTTTAATCAAACATAAAAGTGAATTGTTGTGTCTGAGTGCGGCAGCTAGTTCTTATGTTGAATTTGACAACAATACATAAAATTGTTGTTTAATACTCAAACAAGTATGTTTTTACAAACTTACAGAGCTCCAATTTAGGCTTATAAACAACAACTACTAATTTCAAAAGAGAAACACCTTTATTTTTCGTCCACTATCATCAGGTTCATCATTTGTTTCAGGTTATCAAGAAGCAATTATGGATTTGAAAACGAACTAGCTTTTTATTTTGGAACGATAGGCAAGTAGATATACACACAACGTTTGGCTAATCGGTAAAAAAAAACCATCGTCGATCCTATTTTTTCCAAAAACAACTGAATGCCTACGAAGAATTTTTAATTTAAATTTAATTCATTATAATGTTAAATAAAAAAGTCCGCTCCAGCATCCCTTCCTTGTGCTGTAATATCATAATACTAGAATATTTATGTAACCAAGTTTATACACCTTTCTTTATACCTGAGTACGAGTAATTATTGACACATTTCGGCATTAGTAAATTAGTTTTATTAGATGGTAGAAGTGGTAAAGGATTATGTTTATCCCACTTACAATTCAGGAATCTTAATAGCAAGATTTCCAAATCATGCAGTCGTTGCAGAATTTTCTGGTTTCGAATATAGACAGTGTGAATTCTCGCTACGATATTTTCGTATTAGGAAAACACACGATAAATTTAAGTGCTACATAGAATTTGCTACGACTATTATAACTACTACGAACTCCGTAAAAACGTGATCTTTGTTATCACCTGTTGCTTTGATATGATTTTCGTAAATAAAAATGGCACCGAGCTGCAAATTAACCATTACACGATAACTTTATTTCTATTTGTTTGTATTTCTGCAGTATATATACTTTATTATATGAGTTATTTTTTTGTAAGTTGTAACTTTGCTAAAGTTTTTTTAATACCATAACAAGATTAAAACGCAGTTATTTTTAGTATAAACCTATTTTCTATTTATTCTCAAAATTATTTTTTTAATTTATATGAAGAGAAACTTTAAAAATACAAAACATGCTTTAATCATAATTTGGGTGCCCAATCAACAGTACTAATTCTCGTAGGAAAAATACATATTAGATCTAAACTTACCCCTCTCAAGAACTTCCGATAATCCAACACCATGGTTATCGATGAATGTTAATCACTACAGTGAAAAACAAACTTGATAAAGCACTTTTCATAGTCACCATAAACCTGGCAGGTGACAAAATCAATACAAAGTATATAAATAATACTTAGCAGTAATAAATCAATAAGTTAAAATTAACAAAACAAAAGCGAATCTCTGCTGGAATGTGCCGTGCCTGTGACTGAAAATTTATTATGACGCCAAATTTAGAAGTCTCTAATTTACCATGTGAGTAAAGAGGTAAAAGATATTTCGAAATCGTTCGCATAGCGACAAATCAGAGGAAGAGAGAAGTAAATATTTGTTTTGATGACCTTACGTCGCTTTTGAAACATTTAGCGCTTTCAGCGCCATTGAGTATTGCTGAAAATTTTCAATGCAATTTTATTTATTCGGTCATTAACTTTAGTTTAGATTTTTGGTATTTTTATTTAGTAAGTACATGACTTAACTCATTTGCGAGATAAAATCAAAAGTCCGAACAACGTTCGTGGATTTCACATTTTATTTCGTTGTAATATACTAAAAGTATTTTCCGCAATTTTTAATTTTTCGCAAAATTTTACGTCAGATAAAATCAGTCAATATGTTAAAATGAGATAAGTAGCAATAGCATCGGAATGTAAACAAACTTAATTCTTTCAATTATGAAAGAATTAAGTTCCAATGAAATATGTGAATAAAGCGAGTTAAGCGCTGCATGGGGAGGTACAATTACTGTCACTTCCGTGTTTCAATTGATCGCAAGATGCGCGCGCATACTGCCAGTGCGTTTGCGTAAATCTGAGTGTTTGATTAAAACCAGCTAACGATAAAGAAGCGGTACTAACACGATTTTGTTACGATAATGAAAGCTCTGAGCTAAGCGATATACTAAATGCTTCAAGCAAAAGTGTATATTGATATGTTAATATGTTAAGTTTTCGTTTTTATTCTCTTCAAGTATGGATGGAGTTGAAGGTGTGTCCTGTTATAATTATTAAACATATACATTGAATAAGTTTATCGTTAGTCGAGATAGAACATTTGATTGTAAGTGCTTACTAGAATGTGTAAGTTAATTTGTAATTATGATAATGTTTTATTGATTTTGTATATTTATTATTTTTAGCTAACTTTATTTTTTTTACAAGAAAACGAACTCTTTTTTCGTTATGTGACGGCCTAAGTTTTTTTGGACGCTTTTGATTTAAAAAGTTTTATGTAATTTTTTACTAGAAAACATTCAAGTCACGAATTGAAAAAAATATTTAAATTAAAATTAAAAAAACCGGCCAAATGCGAGTCGGACTTGCGCACCGAGGGTTCCGTACAAACTCAATTTAATACCTCTACGCGTTCACGAGAAAAGAGTTAGTAGATTTAAAATTTTCAGAGATATTTTTTTATTATATGATGTAACTAAAATTTTACGGTTTTCGCAATGTTTCCTTTATTTGTACCATAAAATGTACTTCGTACCTTTCAAGATTCTAAGTTCACGGCAAGTACCCTGTAGGTTTTGATTCCCGTGCGAGTTTGGAAAATTTGCGGCATAAACGGCTGTATCTTTTGATTTATCTTTGGGCTTAGAAGTTTGATTTTTTTCACAGCTCCAAGGGACAGTAGACATGAGTATTATATATGAATTTCAGTTTGATACCTCCACACGTTTCTCAGAAAAACGGTCTTGACAGACGGACGGACGAACGACAGAGTGATCCTATAAGGTTCCGTGTTTTCCTTTTGACGTACGGGACCCTAAAAATTTCTTGTAGTTAGTCATACGCCTTTATAACTTTTTATAAACAATTACTTAAGCAAAAATATTTACTGTGTTCTAGGTTTAAAAACAAAAAGACAAGTTAATTTAGAACAGTTACAAGCTCTAATAGATTATTTGAAGGACCACCAAGAGTTAGCGAAGGGCCTCACCAGAGGTCGTCGTGGTAAACTACATACTTTGAAACTATGGAATGTTTGTGCTAAGAAACTCAACATATATAAAGATGGTGCTGTAAAAGACGGAAAGGCTTGGTCAAAGGTAATATTTAAACTTTTGTTATTAATTTTACCATCATCAACACAGTACGGGTTATACACCTTTAGAGAAGAGATTGGTAAATAGAAAGTCACTGGAAACAATTACTGAGAGTTTATTGAGATAATTTACACTACTGTAACAAAGTCTATAAACAGGAAAACTAAAGTTAAAGTATGGTGAAAGAATGGTTTACGTATGGTGAAAAGGTAAGAGTGAGTACGCGCGGTTGGTAAGGCTACTGATAGACACACATTATAGATTCAATATGTTATTATTGCGAAACAATGAAATTAATAAATTATAAAGTAATAAGTTGCGCAGCGGGTCATATTGCTGACGCGTTAACCTACTTATTATGAGTTTAATGTGCGGTTAAACCCGTACAAACACTATCACTGAAACACCCTTACGAAATAGAGAGTTCTCTTTAGGGGGTAAATTCATGATGCAAATAGGTAGGTAACCCACAATTTTATTACAATTAATAACTTTCTCGCTCTTAGGCACCCTCATAATCAATTAAATTGATGTTATTTTTTTGCTATTAGCTTCGCCAGATATTCCGCAGAGCGTGTAGTATGACTGCTTGGTTTTTTAAAGCGCAATCAGGGGGGCAAGTGCCTAACGTAATTACTATGGCTATCGCTATGGCTTACGATACGGTTTTCAAATGACTCACCTGGTCTTTTTTCTTTTGCATTGGTAATAACAATGTTAAAGAAAATAAGTGTGAAGTATTTGAAAACCTTCGGCGGTCAGAAATAACAAAATGACATCGTAAGCGATCGCGTTTGCCATAACAATCCCGTTAGGCAATTGACCCCCTGGTTGCACATTTTGGTACGCTATTCTTCTTTGTAGTCTTGTATTGAGTGCCCTTCTTCTCCACAATGACCGCAGGTGAGGGTTATTTCACGACACGAATTGGCCGCATGCCCATAATGCTGGCATTTATAACAACGCGTAACCACATGATGATTTTTTACCATTTTGCGCACGGAAAGGTGTGAAAGGTGTGCGCAAAATGGTAAAAAGTCATCATCAACAAACTATTATCTATGTTTGTTTGCCGTATACGCGGAGGCTCGGTCTGTGAATGTGGAAGTTAAACCACTATCACAGTAGCAAGTCATAAGAATGGGTGATCAATTTATTTATCTGGCGTGTTTACGAAGGCAGCTGCATCTGCAGTCGTTTGGCTATGACATGACCTGTGCTCCCTTGAAGAAAGCCTACGCCACTGCAGCCACTGCTGGGGTGAAACCAATAGGCTGATGCTGAAATAATTATTATGCCTTATATTGACTGGCGATGGACGTTGAGGTCAGAATGTGCTTTAATGGCGACCTTGCATCGCACTATCGGAAAACCCGTCACCAGCCAACGAGTCGAGGGGACCCACTGGATTTCCTTGAGGAGGCCGATGTCCAGCAGTGGACGCACATCGTCTATGATGATGATGATGATGATAATGGCACGTTCCTTTCAGTATTGGTGTGATTGGAAATATCGAGTACGCCGGAGGGCTCTGGAATTGAAAGCCGCGAGAGAGAACAACAGATCGCCGCCAGATGGCGTAACGCCGCTTTCAAGTATGGAGGAGAACATCCTCAGCATCATTGGAGAGGGCGCCGTTGATAATATCGTCATCAAATCTGACCCGCTAGGTGATGTGAGTCGGTTGGTTGTATTTTTTGATTTCAGTAGGATCGTGTTATCCAGAGAAGATATATATAAATAGGGGTTTATTACTGAAAAGTAACAGACACATATTTTCATGTTCATGGGTCTGAAAGCATTGATTATATTAAAATATCAGTTCGGGATTGCAAACGGGATTTGTCTTTTTTCATGAATAAATTAGGGCAATAATATGGTAAATTATCATATAATAATTAATATAATAATTGCCCTATTTTTTTATTGAATATAAATTAAGGTAAGACTTCTATTTATAGTAATTTCTCTCATTACGAAATTCCAGGGCACGGATGAGGATCCTGAGGAAAATCATGAAGATAATAATATATCTTATGGTAAGAGCAAGTAAGAGTTATATTTAAGTAATTTTACTAAGTTGATTGCAGGAAATTAGTTTAAGCATCTTATTCCTTGAAACACCCAAATCATCTGTAAGTGCATATATTTTTGTAACTGGAAAAACAAATAAAGACACATAATAGGTAGTTAAATGTTTACGAGTTTCAAGTAGATACTCGAATTGAAACTCTTCACCAACTACGCAGTCGGGAACAATGGCTTATCATGCTTTTTAAGCTCAAAGGAAAATAAAAAAAATATTTCTGTCCATACCCATTCGTTGCTTATCCTGCGCTATAACATCACGGAATGCACTTCCCACTGCACAATGATGTGTTTTTATTATACAAGGCGCAGAAAATTACCTTACCTACTCCACCTGATGTTAAATAAGAGTGAGGACTTGGATTGCTGATACGGCAGAGAATGTGCCATTCCAATCATTTTTGCCAGTCAGAATCCTTGCGCACGAAGAGCCTTCGCAATAAGGCGATTAAATTTTAATGGTGTCCGTGAAAATGGAATGTTGAATAATGAGGGGTATTAAAACACGAATGTGGGTCGAGCACAATGAATATGGCTGCCTGATGAGTTACACCCTTTGCGCGGAAGGGATCGAAAAAGCGAAGGATAGTTATTATTAAATTTGGTACAACATTGGTGTCGATTCTAACAAGATTCTCTAAACTTAAAACTAAATTTAACATCAGTCTCTCCTTTTCATTCTGTAAAGAAAATGACAAGGATACACTGTTGTCAAATTTAAGTTTAGCTTTAGAGAATCATGCTAGAATCGACACCATTATATCATCCGTTTGGATGATAATATGGGTCATCCATATCCTCCATTGGATGTTTTAATGTTGGCAATAACCGAATTGTTTCAGAATCTTTTAAAGAGGTTTTAAAGCATAGAGCAACACAGCCGACGCGGCTAGGAGAGGAGTAGCCATAATGACGTAATACTACTGAAATCATTCTGCCGCTTATTGCGGGGGAAGGAATATGCACATAAATGCAGTCAAACATACTTTCGCAATGACTAAATTGTAATTTCGACTCTCACACATAAAAAATGACAGCTCCAG